GCCGTGCCGCGGGCGAGATCGCGGGATAAACAAAAAACTCATCGTAGATTTAGGGCATTGATTCGGCGTGCCCTGGAGCTGCTTTCATAGAATTCACAAATCCTTTCCCCTCCCCCCCCTTCGGTTGAAACCCCTCGAGTACCGTACAGTAAGTTATGATAAGAGTTCTCGCCAACGCAGGCGGAAGAGAAAGAAAAAAACACCTCCCCGGGAGATTTCGAAGGATTGAGAGTGATCTGCGCTGCCGTTGTTGCGAGAAGACTCCTTTTTTCGCTCTCGTGTCTGTCAAAATATACCGGGTAACGCGGAGTTTCCTGATTTGGAGGGATCTCGGTCCCATTCCCTCGGGATTTCTGTCCATTTGCTCGCCTTTCTTTGTTGATGCTGGAAGTAAGGGTCAATATCATAGAACTCTACAAGGCAAGGGAAAACTTGAGGGTTTTTTGTCTTAGGAAGGGAACGGAGGAGGGTATGATCTACTCGAGTAGAGACTGTGACGTCCGCCTGCTTTGGATTCAGTGAATTGACAGTTCATGGGGGTCCTTGCGTTCTCAGCACTGTCTCGACCATAGAATTATGATATGTTACGGTACTCATCTCCAGATCCTTCACACATGTTAACTTGGTCTAACGATGTTGTAAGTGCGTATACAGGCATGGGCGCCGCAGGTGCATCTCGACCACCACGAGTAGATGCGATGTTCCTGCGATACCGGTACGAGTAATGTACGGTACTTGTCACAGGCAAGACGTGCCCGAAAATACGAGTTGTGAGTCTGTTTGAGCGGTCAGATACACACGGATATTTGACCATATTCATTATATTTTGCGAATCCCTGTTTTCGGATATTTATTGTCTGGGACAGGTAAAGTATCATACTCGAGTCGTTCAGACAACCGCGGGGTAACGGAGAAAGTAGAAGGGAAGGATGAGGAAAAGAAAAACCTCCTGTAAGCTAGCGGCTACCGGTAGCGTGGTGCTGTGCTAAAATATATTGTGCGTGGACAAAATTAACCGCGATTCAACAGAGGAAAATCTTCGGCGATGACAACCACACTCACCCACCAATCCACTATCATGAAAACCAAAAAAAAAATTAAAAGATGTAAATACATAGTAGAAATTAATATTTGGTATACCATCCATCAGCCTTAATAATTGCCTCTATTCTATCCACCATTGATCCAGCTAAAGTATCAAAAACCTTTGGGTCAAAAAGTTTCCAATAATGAGTGATGGCCTCTACTATTGGCTTCTTGACCACATTGACATCACCCTTCATAAGATATAGCATAGGGTAGTGCTTGTGAAGCTTACCTTTCACCAGAGACCAAATATTTTCAATTGGATTGAGATCTGGTGAATAGGCAGGAATTTCCATCAGTGTAATTCCCTGTCCTCTGAGCCATCTCCTAAAAGGTAAGTGAGTCTTAGCATTGTCAATGATAAAAAATACCTCTTCTTCTCCAGACTTTTCTCTGATATTCTCTCATATCTCTAGAAAGTCATAATGATCATAAACATCAATAATTGACTCCCCAGTAACTCCACCCCTAGCAGAAGAAGAATCAGGAAAAATAGGCAAAAAAAGACCATGAGTTTGACTATAAAAACAACCAGTCATCATCTGGCTAATCCCTCTCTCCCCTCTCCTAGCCTTAGGTTCAATACAATCCTTATTCCATTTCTCATATAGGTATCTGAAAACCCGTTTTCTCCTCTTTTCCTCTCCTCTTTCCACAGCTACCTCATCCCACCACTTTGCCTTCCTTCTCCACATCTCCTTTGTCCAATGCCTCTCAGCTAATGCCTATTCCAACCTCTCTTGAGCTAGATTCTCATCTAAATGAACTCTCTCTTGTGCTATCCACTTTCTAAGATGCTTTTTTTCAAGTATTCTCCTTACTGTCCTGCTAGAAACATTGGGAGCAACTTGCTCAGCAATGTCAGAATAGGTAGCATAGCAATTTTTAAGAGCTTCCTCCACCATAGCATCATCCTGTGACCTAGTAGTTTTAGGATGTCTTCCTCTACCCTTATTCTCCTTGCCTCTTGATGTCCCTTTGCAATTGTGTCTCTGACAGTAGTGTAGGAGATATTAAGGTAGTGGGAAATTTGCTGATATCTCATCTGAGGCTTGTGTATCCCAAGAATCCTCCCACTGGTAAACTCAGAGAGATGTGTGGAGGGAATAGGTTTTTTGGCATGATTGTGAAGAATAGGAGGCATAGTTTATTGAAAAAAAGAATTGAGCAGAATGGTTTCTTCTTGGTTGACTTAGAGCAATTTTTTTAGGTACTGTTGAAAGTGGGGGGTGATGAAGAGGAGTGGGTTGCCACTGATTATTGAATCGCGGTTAATTTTGTCAACGTACAATACTTGTACCATAAATTTTTTCCTAGCTAAACCTAATCAGCATTCGCTAACAAAACACTACCCACCGTACTATGTGACCTGAAGCAGTGTGGGGGTGAGATGTGAGTTCTGGGAGGTAGAAATATCAAAATCAAATTAAGTGGAGGAGTGGTAGACTAAGAGCAGTGCACTACTCTAATACCGTACTTTATGAAATTTTCATCCCAACGCCAAGCTCCAGGATGACAGATTATCAATGTGCCCATTTCGGTGTGCAACTTGCTGCGTCCCACTCCTCCAGTACCGTACTCGTACCGGCACCGCATTTTCCACTTGTATGTGGGGGTACCTCTTGCCAGGTGCCCTGTCACAGTGCGAGTATCCCCCACCGCCTCTGCGAGACATTCAGCCCAGTTTAAAATGGTAAACACTGCCAGTAGCCCACCTGGGTAGTCGTAACAGGAAAAACCTCGTCGCTACAAAGTGGCGTAATGCTCAGAACACCAGGATAACCGTAAGGCTGAGCATGGCCGTGGCAAAAACGAGAGAGTCCGCGTAGATTTACTCCCGATTACTCAAATAGGCTGTAGTCCAATTTCAGCCGGGCTGAACAGTATGTCTCAGCGGCCGAGGGATATCCTCAAGGACAAAATTAGTGGCTTGGCATAATTTTGCATCTGTCTTCCCTTGCCCCATACTGTACTAGTACTCGAGTAGACTACCGGTGCGAGTACGAGTACTGTTCTCAGCCAACAACGTGGCAGTCGGCGGAGTTGAAGTTGGGCACTGACACTCCAGACTCGGCCATCTTTGGTCTAACACTTTGGCATTGATTAATACCTATCTTGGCGGCGAGACGTCTGAACACCGGTACCCCACAATCGGGCAAGCACGAGTACGGGAACTGCCACCTCAGGCGTCCAACTTCAACTCGGTCGCGCGAATACTCACACAATCAACCTTCGGAGTCCATAGAATTGAGGAGGAGCACGGAGTTCGTTTCTCAAAAACCTGGTCGTTGATGAGCAGCATTCTTTGGTTATCGCCCTGAGGAACGTCGACTTCTGACTCCCAGTGCCGTATTACGAACCAATGGCTCGCCAGCCCGAACGCCCCAAATAAAATACTCGCTTTAATGGAATATATACCGGCAGTGGAGAAGACTCTACTACGAACCTGAGAAAGATTTTCGCATTGCGACCCCATTGCTCCCCACACAGACCCAACCCTGTATTGTACAGGACCCCAACGTTGTCCTTGGTTGGCCGCCTCATACCTAACCTGCCTTACCTACAAGTACTAGCTGGTTACTATGCTGACGCTGGCGCCAAGATGCTATTGGGATTGTGCAGTCTTGGCGCCAAGGTGTCCGCACTGCAACTGAACCAGCGAGTACTCGTACGTATACCTTGGCGATGCTCCTAATAACAAAAAAGTGGAGAATACGCGGGGGCACGCAATTCCAATGAAGAGAGAGCAAGAAAAGTCGGGACCATAAGTGGGTTTCATCCACCTTCTTCCTGCATTTTACCTTATTTAGCGCTCACCATATCATACAAGCGCTGCACCGGTATCCATCCTCGGCCGAATTTTGCTTTTTGAGAACGGTAAATTTAGGTCCGTTGGGATTGGGGAGGTTCGTTTCGTTTCGGGGGCTCGTCTAGGCCCATTCACCGCGCTTGAGGTCGCTAAGTGTATGTGTGGCGCAGATAGCTTGGAGAGAGTCTCGAGGCCAAAGGGGAGAAACTGAGGAGATATCACATCTTGCCCCAACTCCCGGTAATAACCACAGCAATATCGGTGCCTGCTCGGGCAGGTGGTGGCATGGTGACCATGGCCGGTTTTATGTGAAAGGGTAGTTGATGTGGGAGATCGAGCGGCTATTTAGGAAGTGGAAGGTTGAAACCGCGGTACCATCGGGAGCCATTTCTTTTCACTCGTATTTTCACTTGCAATAAACAGTCAAAATGGTTCCGCTAAACTTGGTTGGGATAGCCATTCATAGATTCTCCACCGCATAACCTGCGGAGGAGGGTCAAGTGCTGTGTGAAGCGCGAGTTTCTATATCCTAATTTACTGCATTGTGCTCGTACAATTCAGTACAGCACACGGCGCACCCGAAAAAGCGAAGGTCTGCGGAAACCCTGGCTCGTCTGTCCACTCTCCTCCACCAGCTATAGTAAGTTATTTACAGCACACGCCCATACTCGTACAGACACCGGCCGGTACTAAGTTGCCTCCCCTCAACCCACTCCTCATAATATTATAATGCCTTTCTCCCTTCCCCAATCGGGGCCGTCTTGTGAATGGAGCTTTTGCCGCTGCATCGTAGGTTAGGTTAGGTTTACCTTTTTCACTTCATGCCTCATATCATCCGTAGACTATCGTACGTGCATCGTGCCCGGCCAGCGCTCGGGGTGACAAGAGCCAGGCAGAAGAAAAACGGGCTGCCTCCATCTCTCCATTCACCCTTTCCTGCCCGCTGCCCGGTTCCACCGCCACCGCTGCTACTGCACTTGTAATATGATAGCAGAACTCGCCAGGGTTCTGCTCTGGCACCCGTACTCCAGTGCTTCCTCATCTTGCCTGTCTGCTTTCGTCTGTGCCTCTTGACCACTCGATATTATCTCACTTCCTTCCTTTTCACTTTTCCCATTCTCTCCTTTTTACCCATTTTCTCTCCGTACTCCTCCTCTCATACCTTCGTTCAAAGTGACAACCACCATTAAATTTTCATCTTCCATCTTTACCCTATCGTCACAACCCTACTCACCCATACCCTACCATCCTTCCCGCCCGCCGTCACGAGAACCACGAGCCGAACGAACTTCAACGACATAGGCCGCTTGCCGTGCCAAATAGGACCAAGGGAAGTGGTGATATTGATATATGGTTGCATTGCGATTAATCGTTTCCCTCTCTACCGGTACTTCAATTGCCTTGTGCCATTCTTGTCTCTCCCCGTCCTCCTCCTCAATTCCCTAGAACAACCTTTGAACCGGCCGAGAAGCTCGAGTCCAACTTTACTCTTACGAGTCGTTCTTGCTATACATATTATTATATAATATTATTGCAATATCATACTATACATTTTTTTCCTTTCCCATAGCAATTACTTTCTGAGGGAGGAAGCTTGATCCAGGCGTCAAACTACCACGGGAATTACTGGAATAGTGTGTGAGGTCTTTTAAAGAGCGACAGAGCCAGCCAGTCGAAACTCTGGGTGGGGAAGGAGGGGGGTCCCTCTCCGTAGAGAGAGAAAAAAGAGCTTGTGTTTTTTTATTTTTATCTTTTGAAAGGGTCTTCTCCCTCCATCCCCTCGTGTGTTTTGTATTGCTTTGTATTGTTTTTTGTTTTGTTTTTGACGGCCACGGTCAGAAGTCTCTTCTTCGTCCCTACAACTTTTTCGCCTCTTCAACAAACTTTGCCTTGCGGTATCATACTCGTACTCTAATCTCACTCTCTTCGGCTTGGTTCCATTGCGGGCGTGTGGTGTGCGCCCTTCTTCTCGCTCATCCTCTTCCTCCTCTGCATCTGTCAACCTTTCTCTCTCCCTCCGGGGCCAGTTGTCTTCTGTCCCGGTCGCTTAGCCCAATTCTTAATTTTTGCACACCGCAGAAGAGCAACCGGCAACCAACTGCCCGTTGCAGGCAAGTATTTCCCCCTCCTTATTTCTGCATTTCATCTGCCCTTCATTTCCATCCATTTTCTCCCCCAAACAACCCATCCATCCACCACCACCACCACCACCACCCCTCCCCCCATCTGTGTCTACCCTCGCTCTCCGCTCCGCCCTACATCGCACCTCAACCGCTTTTGCTCTCCGTTGTCTCCGCCATCTTTCCATCATTCTCACTCCTTGCTCTTTACCCACCCCCCCCCCCCGTCACCCGTCAACTCACTCCCCTACTCCCTTATTCCCCCCTTTCTCTCCCTTTTTTCCCTCGAAAAAACTCCCACCCTCTCGTTTCCCTTTGGCCAACATGTCCCCTTCCAACCCTTCACCAAACTTGGACAGCACAGAAATTGTTCTCCCCTAAAAGAGAAGCCACCCTTCCCGTCGCTATCCACCCCATCCACTCATCATCGAGACGCCCATCCTCAGCCGCCCTTGATTACCCCCTAAACTTTTTCCTCCCCACAACACCCAAAGGACAAAAAACTGGGATTCAAGGAACTCCCCACCAAACTGCCCGACTGGTCTACTCGACTTCGAGCCATCTCGGATAAACACACCCAAACACTAGAAGCACAGCAACCCCAATCCCCTTCACCCACACAACCGCCTCCACAAAATTCCCGAAAACGCGCTGCATCCGGTCCTGAGAACGATGCCCCTGTTCCTCCAGCAACGCCGATGGCCATGGCTACGACCACGGTTGTAGGCCCTCACCCCTTGCGGACAAATTCCCCTGCTGTGGAGAAGAAGTTGGAGTGCTTGCCCACTGGAAAGTCGAAAATGGCAGCCAAACCGACTGCCGCCAAACACAAGTTCTCGTCAATAGACGGTCCTCAAATTTACTACGATGGTGAGGCTCAACAGACATTTTACGATTGCTGGACCACGCTTAATTCTAAGCGGGGATTGCTGAGGAAGGAGATGATGACTATTAGGAGGAAACGGGTCATGACATTACCGACGCATAACTACGGTTATGATGACGACTCCGAGGAGGAGGGATCTGATAAGGAGTCTGACCAGGGGCCTAAAGAGACCGAGGAGGAAAGGTTGAAGAGGGAGGAGGAGGAGCGGAAGAAGGCTGAGGAGGAGCGATTGAAAGCAGAGCGGGAAAAAAAGGCGGCGGAGGTTCTGGAGTACATCGACTCGTGTCTGGATAAGGCGTCGAAAGGGTGTGAGAATGCTGCCTTCTTGTGGTTGAAAGGGGATATCTGCGCAGGTCACATTTCTTTCATCAATTCGAGAATGCAGGAGGCAGTGGATCGGATCAACCTAGAGATAGATAAGATGAAGCCAGTCGCGCCTCCTGCTCCCGCTCCCGCCGTGGAGGATGAGGGTATTGGTGCAGAGATGGATATTGACGCTGACGATACACCGACAACCATTGCTCTACCACCTCGGAAGATGGACACTGCGATGCATGACTCCAGAGTAGTCGGAGTCAGCTAACACCACCCTCTTGGTTTCATACCAAGTATGTCTTTTTTTTCACCTCTTTTCTGCATCCGCCCCCAGCCAACTCCTAAGCATTAAAACCACCGTTCATACTCGCTCGCTGGACCGTACATATAGCCTTCCTCTTTCCTTCTGGTCAAGCCAATCATGCATTTCTAAAAGCACCTTTGATATACTCTTATTTATTACCCCACCCTATTTCATACTCCGAATTGGATTTTGGTTGCTCTCATTCTTCCATTCTTTTGCACAACGTTAAACCTCTCAAGTTTTTCTGTTCACGCAAACTTTTTTCATCCCTAGGATTTCAATTTCTCGTTTGTTCGTTTTCTTTTGTCTTTACATCGGGACTTGACGAATTCATATTATGACGGGGTTTTTTTTTTTACAGTTTTCCTCTGGTTCTTTCTGAATGGGTTGCTGTTCTCACTTGGAATATTCTGGGAGTTGTTCTCCCCGTCTAAATTTTTTTTTTTTTTACCCGCAACGAAAAAAAAAAAAGAAGTTTTAACCGAACCGAACTGAATCAATTCCATCTTGGAACAAACAAAAGAACAAGGAAAACAAAATCACATATTTTATAAAAAACTGCTTTGCTAGATTTAGTCTAATTTATAGCGAATATGAGATTATGTCATAGTTTGGAATAATTGCTCAAAATAAGCTGAGTTTTAGCCACTCTCACGTGTCGCTTTACTTTACTTGTTATCCTCATCCGATTTTTTTCCTCTCCCCTTGATCCCTCTTTCGCACTTTTTTTTTTTCCTTTACTTGAGTATTATTTTGTAATATCGGCTGTTCACGCCGCGCCGGAGGGATGAAAATGGATGGAATGGAACAGGTGGACGAACGAGTCCGGGTTTTTATTCCTCGTGGTTTGCATGATACAGTATTGGGCATATCATACATACAGAGACGGCCTCACCCTAATTATCTCTTTCTTTCAATTCTTGCTCTCTTGCCATCATAATATAATAATTTTAATCCAAGCACAATAGCAATAAAATTTGTACAATCATGGATCAACAGATATTCCCACCGTGCCCACCCTTACGTGATGGGGCCAATTAATTATATGGTCGTGATATTCACCGTAATGAATGGCGTGCAGCTGTTGCCGTCTATCTGGGGTCGAAAGGCACTTTCTTTATTTTGTTTTGCTCTGTTTGAGTGGATAGGATTTTCAATATCGTAGTCGGGTGGTTGGCGGTGGGGAGGCGACAAAATGTGCCGAGAATAGATAAGCTTTCGGGAGAAGTGTTCCGGGGAGATGGCTATGGAGGTTTTGTATACTATACTCGTACAAGTAAGTAGTGTGTATGGGTGGGCGTGAGAGGGGGTCACAGGGTGTCACTCGGGTATCAGTCGTGACATTGTGCGATATGAAGGGAGGGGGGGTTGACGCTCTGCCTTAATGTGGGTTGCGGTATATTTTGTGGATTTAAGTTACTGGCTAATAGCATAAATAGAATATCTTGAAGATTACTGGCCGGTATGTGCCTGGCACGACCGGTAGGATTCCACGCCTCTTATTACCCGCGGTCGGGATATTTTAGAATAATTAGTGGATTGGCGGGTGGTAAGTTAGGTGGGGGTTGCATCGGTTACTTGTACCCAAAGCTTAATAGCCGGTTACCCTCCTATTTCGGTTCCCTCATAGTCGGGAAAAGCAAGTGTGACGCCCCAGTTTCTTTTTTGTATTGACTTAACTTAAATAACACTAGTATATACCAGATGTAATCTACCTTTGAATTTAAATTACAATGTTTCAATTGAAGGCAATGAAATCAGTATTTCTTGCAATTGAGTTATAAGATGTACATGAAAATTCAGAATCAGAGTTACTAGACAAATTATCACAATTATCCCCTTCCTGATCATCACCAATCTGAATATTAGTGTTCCTTGTATAACTAGCTCCTAATCCAAGCTGTTGACCATTTGTGTAAACTTGGACCTCTCCAGGTTTCCTTACAGTTCATCCAAGCTGGGAATTACCCATTCCAGCACTTGCTGCAGTAATAGCGGTTGGCTCTAGTATCAATAAAGCTTGTAATAAATCTGGTGGTACTTGAAGGAACTCGAGATACTCAGGAGTAGGTTTCTTCTCTGGGCCATGTATCTGAATCAAGAGTTCAGCTGGGACAATTTCACCTTGGGCCTAAATATTGTAAACCTGTTTCTTTTGTTCTTTTTCAGCCTTGTGAGTATCAATTCCATGGGGTTTAAGGTTGTCTTTGCCTTATGAATAGTAACTTGAATACTCTTCCAAGCTTTCTTGATTATATCAGCCTTCTCCTTCTCTTCCTTCTCCTTGATACAAAGCCATACTTCCTCTACTGTAATAATACCACCTTTTGGAACCATTCGATGGGACTTAGTCTCATGTTTCTCCTTGTTAGACGGAGACAACTTTATAGACTTCAAGATTGTCTAGGCCAATCGAGATTCGTTTTGTAGCTGGAGATTGTCTAGGAAGGCTTGGACTTGGCTCGTTTCGTTTATAACTACTAGGAGCGAAGTAAAGTAGGTAAAGTAGGGTAGAATCGTAAAAACAATATTATATTGTTAAGGTCTCTTCTCTGTTGCTGGATAATGTCTAAAGCTTGGGAGGCACTTCGATATTTGTATTTCGCGTCTGAGTATTTACGGACTATATCTATCTATCATACAACTATGTACTTTTTCAATCGTAATTTGCAATGTCGAGTTTTCTTCCAAGGTATGAACACCTGTGGACTCTGAAAACCATCACACCCTCTTCGGTAATTACGATATTTCTTCTTAGAAAGCGTACTATCCCCAATAGTAATATACCAATTAGCAGAGTCTTTAGACTTATGGCCTAGTTCTTAAGTTGAACTGAGTTGGCTCCAATTGTCTTCGCTATTGATAAAATGATCAGTTTTATCCACGATTATATCTGCAAAGGTGGTCATTATTACAACCATCATAGGTCGCCTGACTCCGATCCTTTGTAACTCCATACTCAACCAATAGATTTTCTCTGGATGACTTCCTATTAACTCGCAGGAAGCTATTCCACCAGACTGGTAATTAATCCCTCGGTCGGCAACCCTTGGTTGCTCTCTGAGTAGTAGGTTTCAGTAACTACTGTAGTATTGGGAATCACCCCATGACTACGACGTATTCTGAAACCCAGTTGCAACACTCTGTGAAGTTTATTGGCTTCTTTGGTAGTGTCTTTTTGGAGTTCTAGACTCTTCTGGTAGATGTAAATGTATTGGTCTCTAGTAGAGATCCTTTACCATTTGCTACCATCTCTTTGTGCGAAATTGTCCTGTTACTTATGGCCTGTGCTAACGATATCATGTCTTTGGAGCCAAGTAACTCTCTGAGTAGTTGACAGAATCACTCCATTCCACTTCCCAGATCTAGCCGAAGGTCCCCTCTCATATATCCTGTGAACAGGATCCGGTCGGACAGACGGCGGCGACGTATATGGTGTTATTCTAATACCTTCAATTTTGTGGTAATATAGTCACAGGACGAAACTGAGATTGATACATATAATGATGTGCGGGCCCCGTAAGGGAGCCGGAGGAGGGTGTTGGAGACCAGAGATTCTGATTCCAAGTGGGGTTACCCTACTTAGGGTGGTTCCTAGGTATCGGATTCTGGTATTCCTAACACTCCTCCTGGATTCTGGCTTGAATAGTTCTGTACAGTTCCTACTGAAGTTGTGCTTTGGCATGACAGATTTCAGTTCCTTTTACCTATTATTGAAACTGGTTTTTAGAGGTTGGACTAGATATCTCCACTCTATCCACCCATTCTCCCTTTCTCTTCTGGCAGTCAAAGTACATACTTGGCAGTACTGGAAGCTCTAAGATGACACCCTCCTCTATGGCAGATGTAGTTGAGCCATCTTAAAAGATTGCACTTTTAGCAATGCTCAGAGATTTACTATTTGATACCTTCTTGGTATTATAATGCTGCATCCCAAAGTACTCTTAAATAAAGGAAGAAACATTCCAGAATCTGTAAAGGCATTCAGAATAGTATGGGCCTTGAAGGTTTAATTGTGAATAGAGCTTAGATCTGGGAAGAAGGATGAAATCATGTATTCCATATTGAGAGAGTAGAGTATATTATAGATTGCTTTGTTGTAGTAATATTTCTATAGGTGGAAGATACCAATATGTAAAGATTGTAGGATGTGCATAAGATAGGAGGGAAAGGTAAAGAAAACAATCTTATTCTCATGACAGGTGAGAGTAAAGTCAACTTTATGGTAGGTAATATAGCCATTGAGCAGAAGAATACACCAATGTTTCACCTCAGTACCAGTTCCAACATGATAAAGTGATCAAGCTAGGCTAATGCAATATTCTTATTCATATATCTAGTTTGTAAGATAGTTTTTACTTCTGCATGAGGAGATTGTCTTGTACTTAGGTTTCCATGATTATCTTATCAGAACAAATAATGACAGGTAGAATTGGGGGATATCTATTGGCACAAATAGTCTCGATAATAGTAACTGACTTGCGGTTTTCTGGACTGGCTGTATACAACTCTTTGACTTGAGTAGGAACAATAACTGTCTCCTCAGTAGGACACCCAACTCTAACTTCAGACTCGTCCATATTGTATATGTACATTGCATGGCAAATTCCATATTTCAAAAGTGTATCCTGATACTCAAGAGGGAAGCTCTTCAGATCTTCTGTGCTATGAGTCGCAACTTGAACCCATACAATTGGTTTAGACTTATTTGTATTGAGGTCTAAATTCTTTTTAAGCCATTGACAAAACCAGACTTGCAAAAATAGATTCTTCTTTTCTTGCTGTTTGAGGTAGCAGATAGTAGCATAGATAATAGAGAGAGTTACTCTCATACTTATTTTCAATCATTTGAAATAGAAGCGAATTACTGCCTTCTCTTGAGCATCTGTCAAGATAATATTATTGCCACTATGTTGATTGAATGTACTGCGAGAGTTCTGTTCTTAGTATTGCTTGCAAAGTTGGTGCATTCGGATTGATGATGCTTTCACATTGAAAATAATGGCTGCTGTGTTTGCCTTCTCACTTGGCTTTTCGTTAAGCCATTCCGTGGCTTTGTTCAGACGGCGCTTTATTTCAAGCTTACTGTCATGAAAGTGGCTTAGCAAGGAAAAGGTTTTCACATAACTTATAATTATGAGTCATAGGTATGTTATTGGTTCGTGCATATGACTTATTTGGTTTATATCGTGTATTATGTTATGATTTATTATATTTTGCACATGACTCAATTATGAGTCATGGGACATGTGCTTGGTTAATATGCCTTGCAAGTCTGCCTTGCAAGTATGTCTTACAAGTAAGCCTTGTGGGTATGCCATGTGCATATGATTTATATTTCACACATGACCTTGTTATGAGGTCATGGGTTTCATGCATGTGACTACTTGAGGTCATATGACTTGTTTATTGTGTTATAATTGATTTATAAGTTTTCGCACATAATCTTGCTATGAGGTCATGGGATTTGAGCATGTGACTACTTTGGTCATATGACTAGTTTGTTATGATTTGGTTTCACACATGTGACTACTTTGGGTCACATGACTTGGGGCAGGAAGAGTACTATACAAGGAGGCAGGTACAGCTGAGGAGAATAGGCTCTTCATGCATTGTT